ATAATAACAATAATAATAATAATAACTCCAAGAACTTCCTGGAACTGACCAGACACACCAGGCCTCTCTCCCTTTAGAGTAAGCAGAGCCCAGCTGCAAGGAAGGCTGTCGGACAAGAGCTCCTGGGAGAGGTTTAGGCAAACTGAGACACATGGACAGGTGTAGATATAACCGTCTTGTTAAATAAGAAACACAGAGCCAATTGCCGAGTTAAAAGCCCAAGAGGTCAGAGAAATAGCTAAGAGCTAAAAACCTTACCCTTCACTGCCACTGCTGTTCTCCTCAGCAAGAGCGCTACTTCCTGTGTATCTGTCTTTTTATAGACTTTCTATTCTGCCTTCTCATTGGTTGTAAACCCAACCACATGACCTCCTCGTCACTGCCTGTCTGTACAGACCTCCAGGTCTTCTATGGTTGGTATTGAGATTAAAGGCGTGTGTCTCCATGCTGGCTGTATCCTTGAACTCACAGAGATCCGCCTAGCTCTGCCTCCCAAGTGCTGGGATTAAAGGTGTGCGCCACCACTGACCAGCTTCTGCTATGGCTTGCTATTAGCTCCGATCCTCAGGCAACTTTATTTATTAACATACGAATAAGATCACATTTCAGTACAAATAAAACATCACCATAGACAGGACATTGTCCAGCCTATTGAGGTGCCTGCAGGCTGTGCAGTGTGCTCCAGGTTTCCCATGTCACTTTGTGAGCTGTCACTCATGCTGGAGTCACCTTTGGTGATACAACTGTCTTTGAGTCAGTTCTGCCCCTGTATGTAACCCTCACCCCTATGCAGCATGAACTCTAATTGGTCTTAATAGTAAAAACCCAGAGTCAGATATAGGGGTAAATGCAGAAAGATCAGAGAAGTGAAGGAGCAGCCGAAGTCACCTCTGACCTCAGACCGAAAAGGGGCTGAACTCCTGTTCCTCTGCCTTATGTTACTGTCTCCACTTCCCTAGTGCTGGGATTAAAAGCGCGAGCCTTCACCGCCTGGCTCTGTTTCTCTTTTAGACTGGGTCAATCTCCTGTAGCCCAGGGTGGCCTTGAACTTCCTGCTTCCTCCTCCCAAATGCTGGGATTAAAGGTGTGTGCCACCACTGCCTGGCCTCTGTGGTTAACTAGTGGCTTGCTCCTTTGTCTCTCTGATCTCTAGGCAAGCTTTGTTTGTTAGAGCACAAACAAAATATCACTATACTACATATTCCTAGGAGCAACCCAGTAAAGCTCATTGGTTCACAAAGTTGGACTTTAGTGGTATCGGTACTTTAGTCTGTTGTGGGCTCCCTATGTGGGGTGAATAGGAGAGTGCGTTTCATCTCCTCAGGAAAAGTTTTGTCACATAACAAGTGGTGGGTGGTAGTGGGGATGGTGGTGGGGCAGAGAGGGGGATAAATACTGGGGAGACAACTTCAGTGTTCCTCAGACTAGCTTTAGGACACCGTGATGTCTTTAAATGTAGTCGGCAAAGCTATAGGGAACATGTGAGAAGACCATGGTTCTGGTTCTACCCATTGGTATTTGCAGTCCCCGAGGTATCTTTGATTCTCTTGAGACCCAGTATCCTCCTGTGTGAATGAGGGTTATAATACGCACCTTCCCTACCCTCTGGCACTGCAGTAAAGATCAAACCAGATAGCATATGCAAAAGCACTTTGAAATACAAAGCGTGATACAAATGTCTGATGATGTCTGTTGCTTTCTCACACAGAATGCTTAAGGGATTTAAAGAAATCCCACTGTGGTTATAGGAAGATTAGGATAAAAGAGCATGACAAAATTCATCCTTACTAATAATGTATCCAGAGCACATGGTGGTGGTGGTATTTCTGTGAATTAAAGAGCACACCTTTCCTGCGTTTCCTGGAAGAGTGAAAGGCTGAGAGCCTTTGAGTCCAGCACAGGAGTTCCTAATTCTCCCTGTCTGTTCCCTTGAGTCCACTCTCCACCAGATGATGCCATGCTTCTGTGTCTCCCAGACTCTGATTGTCCATGATCCTCCTTCTGAAGCCACACGGGTCTTTTCTATTACAAGGGCTCCTCCATCAAACTGATACCACTGTGTTCTATTGACTCACCAGCTCCTGTCCAGTGGGTAAGAATTCAGCGTGGTGACAAAGAGGCTATTCTTTCTCTAATGATTTGTGACAGCACAGAGGTAGTCCAGGTACAAGTGGCATTTATCTGGGGGCAGGGATTCCACCACATGGTTTTGGTTTAACCTTCTTTCTGCCCAGTGCATTTGCACTTAGTTAATATTTGCTGCATTTCTGTAATAAGTGTAGCCAGCAATTTGCTTTATCAGGACTTTTAAGCACAGGCTTTTAATTATCTATTTAACTGAAAAATAAACACGACTTGTCATTTAACTTTGGGATTATGACAAGGCAGAGTGAATGCTCTTGAGTAACATTGACTACTTCACAACTTCTTTTCTATGCATATTGTTTCTATGCCCTGTTGAGGACAGGGGCAGACTATATGCAAAAGAGAATAAAGGACTGGATGGAGAAAATAAGACCCAGTACTTGCCCTGGAGGGCAAAAGAATGGGAATAAGCTAGAGATGAAACCAACATTGAAAATTTAAACTTGCTATGAATATGAAAGAGAAATAGGAAGCGTGAGCAAAACTGAAGCACCCCTAACCCAGGAGAACAAATTATCTTTTCATGATACTCTTGCTGAAATGACTGGTATTATTTTACAACTTCTTTTTTTTTTTTTTTTGGTTTTTCGAGACAGGGTTTCTCTGTGTAGCTTTGCGCCTTTCCTGGGACTCACTTGGTGTCTATGATTGTTTTGTCTTATATTGGTATATATACCACATGTGTGCCCAATACCTTCAGAGGTCAGAAGAGGGCATTAGAGCCCCTAGAACTGGAGTTACAGAGGGTTGTGAGCCACTATATGGGTATTGGAACAGAACCCAGGTCCTCTGCAAGAGCAGCAAGTGCTCCTAACCACCGAGCCCCTAGTGATTGGCATTTTTAAACTTTTCCTTTTTTTTACTTCAAAATGTAACATTCCAATTTTCAAAAAAGTATATATGTAATTCTATTTTCTTAATTTTTGTTTTTCTACATAGTTTTCCATCTTTGTGCCAATGCATTTCTTTTTTTTAAAAAAATGTTTTCTTGCTTCTGAGCACACTATTGTTTCTCCTTGTAGTAGAATATTTTAAGGTATATTACTTTTGTTTATGTTGTATTGGTTTAATTCTGTGAAGCTGTGTTACTGTGCCTGTCTAAAACACCTGATGATCTAACAAAGAACTGGCCAATAGCAAGGCAGGAGAAAGGATAGGTGGGGCTGGCAGGCAGATGGAATATATAGAAGGAGAAATCTGGAAAGGGAGATCGAGAATGAGCCAGAGAAGGGGAGGACATCAGAGGCCAGCCACCCAGCTACACACACAGCAAGCCACAGAGTAAGATACAGAAGGAAGGGAATTGGAAAAGCCCAGAGACAAAAGAAAAAAAAAAAACAATCTAAGAAAAGCTGGCTAAAAACTAAGTCAAGACAAGGCCGGGCATTCATAATTAAGAAAAAGCCTCCATGTGTGATTTATTTGGGAGTTGGGTGGTGGGCCCCCCAAAAGAGTAAAAAAACAACAACATGCCCTAGCAAGACTGATTGTTTGAGGTGTGGGGGCTCAGAATTCGGAATGGCTCCAGGAATTCTAATCTAGGTTGTTTAGAAGCTGGACACATGGCTGGGCAGTTCCTGGGCAGGTGTGTCCTGAAATTTAAAAAGGTTCAGTGTAGATGTGGAAGCAGAAAAATGGCTCTGAGCTATAAAACGAAACAGAAACCCAAATGGGAAAGGAATGGCGGTAAGGTAGCTCAAAGAAGTAATTTCAAATGTTATGAACGTCTCTCCAACGTAACCACAGCAAACAAGACACAAAAGGCAAAAGTCTCTCTAAAGTGACAGCTGCCAGTGCCAAGGCACTTCCACACTCTGTGTATTAAAGTCAGTCTGAGGAAGCCTTAGCATTGTAAGGGACCACTTAAAACGTTGGAGATGATAGGCAGGGTGGCAGGTCTGTAATCCCAGGACTTGGGAGGTGAATGCAGAACAATCAGGCATTTAAAGTCATCCGGTTTTAAATTGAAACAGCATTGCATCACGTTCGCCCTCCATTTGTTCTCTCTCTCCAGCTCTTCCTAGGCACCCTTCCTAACAATGCCCCCCAAGTCTTCCTCACTCTCAGGTTGAGAGGCTTCTTTTTCGTTGATTATTAGGTACATATGTACAAAATTTATCATCTTTCTTCCTTCCTTCTTTCCTTCCTTCCTTCCTTCCTTCCTTCCTTCCTTCCTTCCTTCCTTCCTCCTTCCTTCCTTCCTTCCTTTCTTTCTCTCTTTAACTATCATCTATCATCTACTATCTATCTATCTATCTATCTATCTATCTATCTATCTATCTATCTATCTATCTATCTATCTATCTATCTATCTATCTATCTATCTATCTATCTATCTATCTATCTATCTCCATCCATCCATCCGTGGAGATACACCTGCTCAGTTGATTTTTTTATTTGTACATGGTTTCAGGACTGACAACTCAGGGCTGATGACTCTGCATTGGACAGCCGATAAGGGGACTCATCTCTGGGAGAGGCTAACTCTCCTAAAGAGTCAACAGTGACAATATTGGTTATTAGGTTCTTCCAGATTAATTGGGTTTCAGGAGCGATGAGAAAGAGAAATGGCCAGAGTAGGGACTGTCTAAAACTGCAGCTAAAAGACATGTCGGATCTGAGGGAGGCCACTCTGGGTTTCAGGTCCTGCCCCACCTGTCCTGGCAGAGTTCAGGGGGACCCGAGCAGGTCCCCCCCCCCCCCCACCCCGACTCAGCCAGCTGTGCCTTCTGGGCGTTTTGCGGGTGGCCGCCAGGCGTCGCGCTGGAGCCGCGGTTGCCCTGGAGACCGCTCGGCGAGCGGGCAGGCGGCGCCGAGCCCCTGGCTAGGGACTAGCTGGCGGGAGCCGCGGGGGGAGTGGCCGCGGCGGCCGGCGAGCCCGGGACGCCCGAGCCTGCCCCGAGCCTCGGCGGAGCGGAGCGGCCTCGGCGCTCCGGTGTCCCGCTCGGTCCCTGCTGCACCCCGCCGCCTCGGAGCCCGGGGGACGGCGGCTCCCGCGGCGGCCCCGGCATGACTCGGCGGCGCTCCGCTCCGGCGTCCTGGCTGCTCCTGTCGCTGCTCGGTGAGTAAGTAGCCCAGACGGTCCTCGCGCGGCCGGGACCGAGCCTGTTGGCTCCGGCAGGTGCTGGGACCCCCGTTGTCCCGGGCAGTGCGGGGGAGGCCCGCGTCACCCAGGTGTCCCCGAGCGCCGTAACCCCTGCGCGGCTCCTGCCCGCCACTTCCCCGAACGAACTCTGGCTGCCGGACCGGTTAGAAATCGGGTTTAGAAGCGCTTGCCGTTATTAGAAGGCTCCAGAGGAAAACTTTGTAGCTTTACCGCAAGGTTTTAAGGAGATTGAGATTTTAAAAGAATTAAATTGATTAAAATACGTTCGCAATTTTTAAAAGGTAGCTTGATTATTACATTTAAAGTTCACGCAGGATTAGCATTCTGCCTTTTTTTTTCCTTAAAAAATGCATTAGTCTACTCGATCACATCGGAAAGCAAAGTTTATTTACACTCTTAGTTTCGTAACCGAAGGACCTAAGTTGCCTCATAAAAGTACATAGAATGTAGCAGTCTGAGGGAGAATTTGAAAGCATTTGCTTATTCAAATTTAATTTCTTTAATTTTTCTTGCATTTTGTCCCCACACTCCCAATAGTCATCATATGTAGGCTCTGAATTTCATTTTATACAATGCTCCCTTTGTGTGTGCATTGTTTTATGCAATCAAGTTTTCTGTCTCAACTAATTGGTTGCTGAGGTTTACGGAAATTTGTTCTGAAGGCCTTTATTTATCAAGCTAGTTTAGTGATGTAGAGTGCTGTGGTGAACTGTATTTCTCTCTAGAGAAATCTCTAGATTTAGATCTCTCTAGAAATCTCTCTGTAGCTTTCCAATCATTTTTTTATGTCTAACTTGAAGTAACTCAGTTTTAGACTGTTCACCTAGTAGAGGAGAAACCAGTAAGTGTACCTTTTTTTGGTAGATGCCAGGGAAGGTGAAAACATCATTGTTCTGACTCCTTGAAGTTCTGTACCCTATTTTTAGTGACAATATGCAGATAATTGTGTCGTACACACCAATATGTACTTTTAGGCACGCGGGCTTTCAAACTTTTTTTGTTGTTTACCACTCTGAGTAGGCCTGTTTCTCTACCCTCCTGTCAAAGGAGACACAAGAGGATATAGAGATGTTTCTTACAATCCTTGAACACAGCTGGAACGTTATAAATGTTGCTGTAAGAATAGCTGAAATGTTTTTGATAGAAAAATCTATTGTTAAACTTGGTCTGTTGGTCAATAGTTTGGGTATGGGTTGACTTTGAATTGATTAGGCAGTACTTTTAAAGAGGTAATTTCATTTCTAGAATCAGCCGGACCTAGTCACCTGATTGATGCCTTCGTTTTGGGTAGAACTATCTCTACTTAATACTATAATGCTGCCGAAGATTTCCAGCATAGTCTCAATCTTCAGGATAGTCTATTCTGGAGAGCCACTTTTCATCCTTAAAAAAATGTGTTCCTCTGTTCAACAGATACTTTCGTTGCTACCACTGGGTGCATTTGGGCATTTGGTGGGTGGGTTGGACAGGGAGATGGTGGAGGGATATAAAGTTTGTCTGCAGCCCTTCGGAGATTTGCTTTCTTAAAAAGACTATCAGCATGCACAAATAATTTATGGCGCGGCAGATACATGATGAGTAACATTTGCTAGCAACATCAGGGACTCTTTACTGTTCACTGAAAAGTTAACTTTTGGTCTGGACTTGGATTGCATAGAATTTAGAGGATGTAAATTGAGAGTGGTTGGGCTTTTGTAGCTCAAGGAACAGTGGGAATAAAACATACATGAAGGGAAAGTGCAGAGGCATGTTCTTGAGAGGGCGGGCTTCTGGTTGGAAGAGCAGAGGAAGGGCAGAGATGGTAGGTAGAGCTGAGTCCTGGCTTCGGGCTTCATCTTGGGAAAGGCCACAGGGATGTTTCCTTATTGGCCGATGTGCTGAGAGCGTGTGGGTCTTGCTGTTTCTGGTGTCCAGGAGAATGTTGTGTCCCTACTGAGTTCTTGAGCCAGGCAGTGGCAACATTGGTTTGAGTGAATGGTGGTGTATCTTTAGGACTTCTGTGGGGTTGGCTCTGTTATCAGGGAGGGAGGTTGGATTCTGGATAAGTGACCAACAGCAGTGATGGAGGAATAGTAAGTATACCAGATGTAGAAGAGTCTCTTCAATGAAAGAAGGAAAACGGGTGTCATGACATCACTGTTATTTTTGTTAAATTCCTGTGAAATAAGTTCACAGAGAATTTTGTTAGAAAAGTTTACTTCTGTGTAATTCCATCAGTGACTTAGACATAGTTTAAATGAGCCAGGTATGGTGGTGCACGCCTTTAATCTCAGCACTCAGGAGGCAGAGGCAGGTGAATCTCAATGAGTTCAGGGCTAACTTTCGTTTACAAAGTGAGTTCCAAGCCAGCCAAGGCTACATAATCAGACTCTTATGTACAAATAAATAAGAAATTCTGAAATATTTTTTTCTACTTGGGATTCTTTGAAATAGCAGATAGTTTTGCATAATTTGAGGAAGTGCAAAAAAAGGTCATATCAAAAACAAAGAGCCGTGAATCTTTTAGTGTTGGCATTTGGAGAGGCTGATTGTAAATTTCCACTTCTCAGCTTTAAGTTAAATTATGTAACTGTTTTTGGAAGACTTCACTTTTTAGTCAAAATCTATAGTTTGATCTTCTGGAAAGATGACAGATATCATGTGAAAATTTTAGAGAAGTTTAGCTTACTCAGCATACAGTACTCGGGAAGCGGTTTAAGTGTTAAGTCATTCCGAGTTTTTATAATGTTATGCTTAGAACTGTTATCAGACCCAAGGTGATGATGCAATGGCGAAGGTGCTTGTTTGGGCTCTTACCCCGCCCCCCCCCCCCCCCCCCCCCCCCCCCCCCCGTGACAGCAAGTGGCACATTTTCAAATGTGTTTTCACACTTCAGTAGTGGAAACACCTATAACAAAAATTCCCATTTGAATCTTCAGACTTAAGCCATGTGATTTAGTGGCAAACAAGGTGATAGGCTGGGGTACAAGATTCTGTATCGTCCTAGTGACAGGAAATGAAGGGTGGGCAGTGTTTCCTGAGTTGGAACCAAGTTGGGGAATTGTTGCTTTCCCATTCAGATGATCTCTAAACCTGTTGGGGTGGTGCATGTGTGTAATCCCAGCACTTGGGCGGCCAAGACGGGAAGATTACAAGTTTGAGTCCCTCTTAGACTACATAGCGAGTTCTGTGGTTGAACCTGGGCTATACAATGAAGGGTGGTCTCAGCTTCATTTTTCCACCGATCTCCCCTAGAACTAGTTTATTTGAAATAAAGGTTGCAGGTCTATTGTTATCTGGGCTGATTATAACAATTTATTTCGACTCCCTCAGCTTTTATGTATGTTTGGCATTTTGAAGCAGGATTGCTGAATTTCTAGTCTTGTCTCTAGCTGTAAGCATAGTCACTCTAAATTCTCCCTTTGATGAGGACTAGCTGGCACCAACAGGTCTCAGCCTGCTCTCCAAGAACAGCACCCCTCCCGACCATCTGGAGGATGTCAAGTCCTCTCCTGATCACACTTCTGTGAGCAACTGGCTTAAGAGAGGTTGTCAGTTCCTGGGTGGCCTTCCGAAGTCATCTGATTGGAGTTCTGTCATGAGGGTAGGATAGCAGTCAAGCGCATCTTCAAACCATGAAGTTTTTCTTGCCGTGTAAGTTTGGGTAGTTGACATCCCCCCGTGTAGGATTTCTGTGTGCAGGAGACTGACTTCAGCCATGGTTTGCATTTGTTGGCGACATGGGAAGTCAGAGGGAAAAATGAGTTTTCTAATTTGCAGATGAGCCCTTCCCCAGCACTCCGCCCCTGTGTACCATGGCCAGCATCACTGACTCTGGAGCTGCTACCATGTGTGGCTCTGCCTCACTCCTGTATTATAGGAAGAAGCGGATTGCAATAAAGAATCACTAAACTTTTCTGATTAGGTTAGGATGAAACCAATACAAATTTGCCAGTGTGCACGAAGACTGCTTAATGGGTAGTCTTTTGAAAAAGTCGACTCGTTTCCATTCACTAAACTTTTGGATCTTAAGAGGAAGGTAAACTGTTACTATGAGAGATGGTACTTTCATGAGAAAAGTAAGGAAGTTTAAATCCTGGAAGAAGGTGCTGAGCTCAGGAAATACGTGTACCACATACTTTTTTAGAAGAATTTTCCAAGAATTAAATTAATGGTGGCTTCGGCTGATGGTAGGTCAGGATTTAGGGTTAAAGTACATTAGGTTTGTGGAATAGGAACGTAGATGCCATGTTTTCACTGAGGGTCACAGGGTAACAGTGAACACAACCTTGTCGTCATGGAGCCACAACTTGGCTAGTCCTAAAAGACTCCTTCGTTGAATATTTTAAAACTCTGAAACGAGAAAAGCCTGTTGGAAATCTCACCACTAGAAACAAAACAAGGTCTTCATAGAGCGGACATCTCCCCCGACCCCTGTCCAAAGTCTCATGGTTCATAGCACTGCTTATGCAAAATTTCCCTCCCTACCGACTTCTCACTAATGTCCATTATTTTCATTTCTCTTTCCTCCTCCTCCTCCTCCTCCTCCTCCTCCTCCTCCTCCTCCTCCTCCTCGCCTGTTTTGGAGTCTGTTATGGCTTTCTGCTGATAGCATCAAATTCTTCGAAGGTAATCAGTTTAGTCATTCTTGGTTGCGTCTAGTTACTCATTTTACTAATTTTGCACCAACAAGACAGAATCAGAGATCGTCTCAGCTGCTGGGCACTGGTGGGTGTATGAGGGAGTACTGAGTACTACATGGGGCATTTCCTCCTTGTTCTGTGAAGGTCACTCTGTGCGTGTTCTTGGAATACTTGAAAAGAATATTGTTTTCCTTAAAAAAAAAAAAAGAAATTGTAGACTCTGTTGTCATTTCTTTTAGGAATTGGAATGCCTTGTGTCAGTCTATTATATAATTATATGTCTATGTAATATGTATATGTATATTATATAAGTTATACTAAGGTTTGGCATAT